AAATTAAATTTTCCTTCATTAAATTGAAAGCATTCTCCTGTTCACTTTCCCACTTAAATCCAACACTTTTTTTCACAATTTCAGTCAACGGTGCTGCAATTGTGCTGAAATCCTTGATGAATCTCCGGTAGAGACTTGCCAAACCATGAAAACTCCACACCTCAGAAATATTTTTAGGTGTTGGCCATTCTTTAATAACCTTAACCTTTTCTTCATCTACTGCGATTCCATCAGTTGAAACAACATACCCTAAAAAAACAATCTGATTTGTGCAAAAGGAACACTTTTTAAGGTTAGCAAATAACTTTTCTTTTCTCAACACCTCTAGTACCATTCGCACATGCTCAATATGTTCAATTAAATTCTTGCTATATATCAGAATGTCATCAAAATAAACACCACAAATTTGCCAATGAAAGCACGCAAAACATGATTCATTAATCGCATGAATGTACTAGGCGCATTAGTTAATCCAAACGGCATAACTAACCACTCATATAAACCATGTTTCGTTTTAAAGGCTGTTTTCCATTCATCTCCTTCCTTCATCCTAATCTGATGATATCCACTATTTAAATCAATTTTAGAGAATATGCAAGAACAAGGCAACTCATCTAACATGTCATCTAATCTAGGAATAGGGTGACGATACTTTACAGTGATTTTGTTGACAGCACGACAAGCAACACACATACGCCAAGTCCCATCCTTCTTAGGCATAAGTAGCACTGGTACTGCACATGGACTCATGCTTTCTCTCACATGTCCCTTTTTCATGAGTTATTCGACCTGCCTTTGAAGTTCTTTTGTCTCATTGGGATTGCTTCGATATGCTGGTCGGTTTGGAATTGTTGCACCAGGAATGAAGTCCATTTGATGCTCGATTCCTTTTACTGGTGGTAAACCATTAGGAACATCATCTGGAAACACATCCTTGAAGTCCTGCAAAAGAGATTTAACAACACTAGGCAAACAATCATTAAGTTCGTTAGTGTTGAAATAAGCATCTTTATACAGAAGCACAAACATTGGCTGGTTTGCAAAGAACGCAGCCTTAACATCACTTTCTTTTGCATAAACACTCACTGATTTTCTCTCTTTGTTTTCAACACTCTCAATCTTTTCTCTCTTTTTGGACTCTTTTTCTGTTGTTTTCTCTTTATTTTTCGTACCCTCAAGCTCACTCTCATTTCTCAGCTCACTCTCTTTTTTTACTCTCAGTTGATCCTCATAAACTTGCCTTGGACTCAATGGTGCAAGAGTAATTGTTTTCCCTTCCATGATGAATGAATAGCGATTTTTGAAGCCATCATGTGTTACTCTCCTATCATATTGCCATGGCCTCCCCAAAAGTAAATGTCCAGCATGCATGGGAACCACGTCGCACAGTACCTCATCCTTATATCGTCCGATAGAGAATGAAACCAGAACTTGCTTATTTACCTTGATTCCTCCACAATCATTTAACCATTGTAGCTTATATGGCCTTGGATGCTTCATCATAAGTAAATTAAGCTTTTCAACCAAAACAGTGCTAGCTACATTAGTACAACTGCCACCATCAATAATCACACTACATACCTTATTTTTGATATGGCACCTCGTGTGAAATATGTTGTCGCGTTGTACTTCATCATCTTCTTTGGCTTGCACATTCAAAGTACGCCTGGTGACAAGCAGTTCTCCATCAATAGCATATTCCATGCCATCATCAGCATCTTCCAATGGTGGCATAGAGTCATCATCAGATTCACCCTGTGTTTCAATTTCTCCATCCTCTTTCAAGA